ATATGTTCAGAGAAAATACAAAGAGTAATCCATTCCAAACTCAGTCACATTCAAGTCATATCTCCAAAGACAGAAGTTTCATAGAATATAATTTTCAAATTTGATGTATTTTAAGAAATAAGGATTTTTATATTTCAGATAAATTTCTGCTGAGTGTTGATGCTTATTAAATTTATGAATTCAAAAAGTGACATCTAAATTTACATGTACTTTACATAAATCAAATTCAATCTCTTCTTTTATAATAGGTGACATATTATTTTGATGGTAAATACTATTAAAGTGAATTTCTTTTTCTTCAAGCTTTACTGAGATACAATTGATATACAACATTGTATAAGTTCAAGGTATACAACATGATGGTTGATACAAATATATTGAGAAAGGATTACCACAATAAGGTTAGTTAACACCCCCATCACCTCATATAATTACAATTTTACCTTTTTGTGGTGAGAACAGTTAAGATCTACTATTTTAGTAACTTTCCAATATGTAATACAGTAATGCTATTATTATATGATCTTTATACTTTATTTGACTAAAGTCGTATATCATGTTTGATTTGCTTCTGTTGAACCATCCTTGCATCCTGGAGCTGAATCCCACCTGATCAAGGTATATGATCTTTTTAATGTGCTGTTGAATTGGGCTTGCTAAAATTTTGTTGACAATTTTTGCATCTGTGTTCACTAGAGATACTGACCCGTAGTTTTCTTGTGGTGTCCTCATCTGGTTTTGGTATCAGGGTAATGTTAACTTTGTAAAATTAACTTTGGGAGTGTTCCATCCTCTTCAAATTTCTCGAAGAGTTTGAGAAGGATTGATATTAATCCTTCTTTTAAATCTTTGATAGAACTTACCAGTGAAGCCAATCGGTCCTGGACTTTTATTCGTTGGGATGTTTTTAGTTACTGAGTCACTCTTATTAGTAATCTGTCTGCCCTGATTTTCTGTTTCTTCATGATTCAGTCTCAGTGGGTTATATATTTCTGGAAATTTAAATGTTTCTAGAAGTTCTGCACTGGGAAATTTTACAATTGAGGAATCACTATTCAGAGACTATCTGCAGCACTTTAGGTCAACTGTGTGCTCAACTGACACCCTCAAAGCCGCCCTGGGTTTTATAACCACTGATATCCTTTGTTCATCTCCCAAACCTCATTTAAAAATAAATCTTATGTTTATAAGGTTTATACATAAACCTTATGTAGTTTTTTACCCATCCACGCACTCAATTTTTTTTACTCAGTCATCAAAAACTTCAGGTCCTGTGTGACTCCTAGCCTATTAGATCTTATATTTTTGTGTGGGAGAGAGATAATAATTTTGTAATTCCAGACTAACAAGTGGAAAGACAATGTTTTATCTCAATTCTATTTGGTAGTTCTAGTATTAGAAGTAATTGCATTTTAAGGGGTGCCTGGGTGGCTCAGTGGGTTAAGCCTCTGCCTTCGGCTCAGGTCATGATCTCAGGGTCCTGGGATCGAGCCCCACATCGGGCTCTCTGCTCAGCGGGGAGCCTGCTTCCCTTCCTCTCTCTCTGCCTGCCTCTCTGCCTACTTGTGATCTCTGTCTGTCAAATAAATAAATAAAATCTTAAAAAAAAAGAAGTAATTGCATTTTAAATATAAATCTGATCAGTAAAAGCCCACTATAAATAAATATGTTTAATAAGCAACAAGTAGTTTGTAGTTTTCTTGGTTTCCTCTTCTGATGACATTCTCAAATGGAGATTCCTTTCAGTACTCTACCAAATTCTACATGCAAAGTACAGATTCAAATAAAATAACTGGTAGTTGACTATAATACAACACACAATATTTAAGACAACAGAGAATAAAATGTTTGCATTTGTTGCTTTGTAAAGGATAAGAATGGTGGGTAGGGTGTTTGGAAGCAAGATTAACATTCAAGAACCTATAAAATGGCATTAATATGGAAAGAACATGAAGAATTAAGTATATATTCAGGTAAAATAATTCATATTATTCATTATTTAAATATTGAGATTGAGGAAAACAGAAAAATCACATATAATATTGATTGATTTCTTCAAAGCAAAGTTAATAATTCAAGGAATGCTTCAGAGGGAAACCATCTACACTCAGTTGACAGAACAATGGGATATTCCTCTATCTCCATATAAATAACATTTCTGACAATAGCTGACTATTGGCCACTTAACTTGCACAGAAAGGAATACAAAGTGCTTATTGATTTTAGTATGATTCCATATAATGCCTGAACCCAGACTGGCACTCCCACAGGATGTACTGAAATACACAGATTAACTAGGTTTATATATGCATGAACCTTGAATTGCACAGCAAAGAGATCTGTGCTAGCCAAATACCATACAGAACAAACCAAGGTTTTGTGATGTCTGCTGAATCAACCACAGTCTTGTGGCTACACTGATGCCATGATGCAAATACTGTATCCCACATACTGCAATCTCCTTGTGGATCCACTCTCCAACTTTACATAATAGAGTATCTCATAATAGAGTACCTCCTCCTCCTATCAAAAAGTCCACCCCTTTGCTCTCAGTTAGTGCCTTTGTCTCATATCTAATGGATAGAAACAAGCACTTACTAACTGGTTTATTATCAACCAAAGTGTTAACCTAACCTGAATCTGTCTCCTCTACTATTGCTCTAGATTCCATGGGTCTTTTCCTTCTCAAGAATAGTTTTCCATCAGTTATAGCCCCCTGATTTTCTTCAAAAATACCCTTCTTTTGGATCATTGCCTATAGTATATAACTGTGCTTTTAAAATTCCCATCCCAATAAGTGCTTAAATAATGATAATAATAAAAAAAAAATCCTATTTACCTTTATCTCTCTCTACCTAGTGTCCACATCTCTATTTTCTCTCTGTAGTATAGTATCTTTTAAAGTTGGCTAAATTCACTGTAACCTCCTCTTCTCCATCCATTCATGCAATAGAATAATCTCCAAAATATTGCAGTCCCATTAATTCAACTGAATTTCTCTTACCAAAATCACTAGGAGCCTTCAACTTGCCAAATCAAAATCACTATACTTTCTTCATTTAATTCAACCTCACAGCAGCATTCCACATAGCTGGCGGACCTCTTCCTTTGCAACATCTCTTTTCATGTCTTTCTATTTTTCCTACATCACTGGTCAATCTCAATCATTCTAAATTACAAGTCAACCCCCTTTTGCTTAACAGTCAACTCATCCTGTATGCTTTTCTCTTTTCTACATACATTCTCTGCCAAGGCATCTCATCCATGGCCATGCCTAAATGCTTGCTATTTGACAATAACTTTCATATTAATAATTAATATATGCAATCCTCTTCATACTGTATGGGAATATTTTCCTAGAACATGACATGATTGGACTCTTTGTAATCAACTTCAAATATCATCTCCTAAAATGTCCCACTTCCTCCAGTCAATTAGCATCATACCTTACCCAAAATTAACACTTTCATACACACAGTATCAAATATCACCTTATTTAAAAATAGTTACTGCTTGTGTGGTATAACTAAAACATAAGTTTCATATAAGCAATTACCTCCAAAATTACATTTCAAAAAATATTCTAGTAAATGTTAGGTCCATAATGTATGCTATTTAAGAAAGAAGAGGAGTAGGAGGAGGAAGTGAATGAGGAAGAGGAGGATGGAGTGGGAAGAAGAAATGTTTCATTGCTTAGCTACCAAATAGAATAATAAAAATGTTCATATACATCTAATGATAATTGGTCCTGATACATATTCACAGTCAAATTTGTTTATGCTATAAAGACCTATGTTCTGAACACATGTAGAAAGAAGTCTTTAAATTGCTTCCTGGAACCTCTGGCACAAATAATACACTATATGTTAATAAAAAAAATTAAAAAATAAAAAATTGCTTTCTGGAATGTTAAAAAACAAGAATCAGGAAAATATACAACAGAATATACATCTTAGATTTGGTGGCTAATAAATTAAATATTTAGGTAAAGCAATTTTGAAGTATGTTAGCATAATTTAAAATGGCCATTATGGAACAGAATTTATCACACTTAAGTAAATTTTATGGACTTAATTTTAATATATATTGTGCTATCAAAATTTTCTGACTCAGTGAGTGAACAAATTTTGCATAGCCACACCATAATTTCCTCTCTATTAGAAAGACATTTCTGATTTTCAATGCCTTCAGTTCTTATAGCTTATGGAAAGCACTTGCTTCTATATGCAATATATTTAAAATATTTATAAAAATAACATTGGAATTGAAAGGAACTTTGAAGATAAATACAGTTGCACAGAGGTGTTCAACCACTTTGTTTTTAGTCTTTATGTTCCATGATTTTGATGCATAGAGTATTTGTGTCTTAAAAATTGGTCTTCTACTACTTAAACATGCATATTTTTCAGGATGATCTTATGTGTTTTTAAGATACAAGATTATATCCTGTTTTGGAAAATGCATTTTTAGAATGGAGAAACTAATAAGTGAATAAGCTAAAGAATTTTATAAATCACTAAAACTTACATTTTTTTTTTAAGATTTATTTGTCAGAGAGAGAGGACAGAGGGAGAGGAGAGACAGCATGAGCAGGGGGTGGTGTCAGGCAGAGAGAGAGAGGGAGAAGCAGGCTCCCCACTGAGCAGGGAGCCCAATGCGGGACTCAATCCCAGCACCCTGGGATCATGACCTGAGCTGAAGGCAAACACTTAACCAACTGAGGCACTCAGGCATCCCTAAAATGTACATGTTTAACCCTTTTTTCTATTGCCTTGAGGAATGAGATATTTTAACAAGACAAATAATGTATTAATATATAGTACTATTGTTTACAAAATTTAAATGATCATCTAATTTTTAAAAAATATTTTACTTAATATGTTTGTAGAAGGAAGTACAAGTGTTGAACTTTAAATAATTCACTTCCAAAAACATTAGCTCAAGATTTTAAATCTGTTGTCATTGTTAATACATCTTTGACGTAAATTAATATGCAATACCTTCTGGAGACATCTCGGGTACAATGGCCTCATAAGGTTCATCTAGGAATTTTGGTTCATTGTCATTGATATCCGAGACTCTGACGACAAACTCAGACTCAGGTTCCACAGCCCTTCCAGTAGTGCTGTCTATTACCTGGGCTCTTAGAGTGTAGAGGGATCGTTCCTCTCTATCAAGCTTCTGGACGGCATACATGTCACCTGTTCTCTCATCAATGACAAAAATACTTCCAGCTCCAGCTCCCAAAAGCTTGTACTGGAAAGAGTTGTTTCCATTGTCTAAATCAGATCTTAGCTGCAAGTGCAAAGAGGGATAATTTAGTTTCCAAGACAGGTTTAAACGGACAAATCAATTTAAATGATTTTATTTTCATGTCTGTTAATTTTTCCCCAAGTTAATAACACCATGTAATTTCCACAGTATATTAAATCAGGTGAAATATTAATTTTAAGATTAAATTCTATCATCAGTCAGAGAAGTCTGAAATTTCAATGTAAATCACTACATAAATTTTATTAGTCTAAATAGATTATTCTAATTAGAAACTACAGTAATTAGAAAACAAAGTACCTTCCATAAATTCTGCACAACAAAACTGGTTCAAGTTTACTCTATGACTATATTCTTGGTTACTAAAACTGTACTCTCAAATATTTGTATTAGATTGGGATGTAGAGACAGATAGGAAAATAATAATCTAGGTAAATTTGAACAGTGATGTTTTATCTCTAGGCTAAAAACACATAGGAAACACAGAAAATATTACCAGGAAAATAAGAAAGCATGTTGAGAAGATAATGAGAGCCTCACCCTTCCTTGTTGTCATTTATAACATGCCATAAAATCTACAAGTTGCTTTATGTATGATTTCCCAATAAATCCTCATAACATCGTGAGATACATATTATTGATATAATTATTTATACCGAGAAAGAGAGACTGAAAATTTTTCAAACTTTCACAGAGTCATGGTTTTTATATAGGTTTATGATTTAGACAACAGGTCTGTCTGACCCCAGAGCTTCCACTGTTCTGAGTTTTGCTAAATTAGATCTATTGCTTTCCAACAAATTCAACTCAGTTCTCAAATGCATCTTTTCTTCTTGTGCCCTCATTATTTTTTATTTTTTAAAGGCAAAGTAAATTTGTTCATTCATGGTGTTAATGGAATTTTGAATTTTATATATAAAAACAAGGGTTATTATGATACAGGTAACATTAGTTGGTTGGGTTCTCATACCTAAATTATTTTTACATAAAGAGAAGAAGTATGCCATAATCCCTTAATTATTGTGAATTCATAGTTTTGATTCATCATTTATGAATAGGTCCTTCTTCAAAGTAAGAGCTTTGCTGAAAATTTACAAAGCTAACCAAAGAAATAAAATTTTAAACCAATTCATAATTTTCTGATAGCTCAAGGTACAATGGACTAATTAATATATTCCTCTGTGATTGGGTAGAATATCTGAAGATACCTAAAACAATGAATTTTAATAACTTTAATCATGTGTTGAATAACACTACTATTTATTGAAAGAAACAGATTGGGAATAATAATAAAGAGATAATAAAGTTATAGCTCTTTTCATCTGATAGCTCTTCATTACTCATAAGATAAAACAGAAGTTTCCATGACTTACTAATAAGAAACTTAGGGAAACAAATGTCCTTTCCAATAAGTATATCAAATGAAAGTAAAGGATGGCTATGTTTTTCAAGTATCATTTTGATACAGTTCGAAAGTTTGATTAAGTATTAGAATGAGATGATAAATCAAATTAGGTAATGAATAAATGTATTCCAAATATATATGTACAGTATAATTTTCATGGATCAGTAAGCCTGATCTTTTTAAGAGATATATATTTACTTATTTTTTTAAACATCAGCCTCTTAATGTCACAAAATACACAAGTTAAACACATTTTAATTTCATGAATTCCGTATTACGATATTTTCTGTATTTCTATTCAAAAATATTTTTTTCAATTAGGCAGTTACTATTGGTTTGGCAAATCAATATGCCTTTAATTTTTTCCTTAATTGTGCTTTCCAAACTTAATCCCTGTTAACAAACAGTTCAAAAAGAAAGTCATCTGGACACATCAGCTACATTTTATTTTTACTAGCTCTTTAACTACAACACCTAAATATTCATTATTACTGTCTTTTAAACCAGTTATCTGTATGTTATTTAAGCCTAATGACATTGTTTTAGGCGAAAACATCTGTTAGGATACTTTTGTAAGTATTTTTACAGAATGAAAAAAATAGGCAAAATCAATCATGATGTGAAAGGAGGCAACAGGAGATGTGCCCGGAGCACGAAAACAAAACCTAGAAAATGTGACAGTCAGCCAGGGAGCTAGTCTCTGCTCTGATTGTACTGATGCACTTCCCTGTAGAGCCTTATTCACTAAAAGTCACCAGCCTCTGTTAGTCTGTCACCCGGCTCATTGATGGGAGAGCCTATGGGGCTCTGTGGAGTTCACTGTAAATGTGGCTACAGAGACTCAGTTAACTAGCACACGCTTAACCAAGGACCTCATCTTTGCCATCCTGCCTCTGATTTACCTGCAGTCATCTTCGAGAATAAAAAGATGTGAAATTGCCTCAAAGCAGGCACACGCACATACACAAATGTTTGAAATCTGTTTGCCTAAGATCCTAACCTGAGCCTTCGGTTGAATATACACATATACATTTGCTGGATGGGATAGATGAAGTCCTTTAGAATCTGGACATCACGCTAACACTGCAGCTCTCCTGAAAGGGCTAGGAAAAGGGAGTTAATGAATTTTGAGTGTTTCACCCTTTGGGCCCAATTAAATTTTAGTGCCAGTTAATTAGCGGTTAAACTTATTTCAGTTCATTCATCTAGACAAAGATCCTTACAGAAAAGGACACGGTATTGTAATTACCTCTGTTTAAAGAAAATTGAATAATAATAAAAACCAAAAACATAAATAGGGAATGTTCTATCTCATTAGGGGAATTTTAAATATATATATATTCTTATAAAAAAGAAAAAATAATTATTCTTTATACTTCATAATCAAATGAAGTGTGTAGGCTCTTGAAGCTACTTAGCTGTAAAAGGGTTTGGTATTAATCTGCTTCATGAAAAATTAATGATGGGTAAATCAACACCTACTGAGCATAATAGAAAATCAGACTAAATGCTGTTGGTAAACGTTATTATTCTCAGTGTGGTTGCTTTGATCCATTACCAAAAATAACACCATCAAATTTCCAGATGTTGATAAATGAGGGTAGTATTTTCATAAGGGAGACAAAAGTAAAATTTGAAAGTCAGAGCTTTTCTTCTTCCTCAAGTTTTGCAAATATTTTAGATGCTTGAAAATCTGAAACAATTAATTAGGCTGATGTCTGAAGCTTCCTAAGGGTTTCACAGAGAAAATGTAGAATTATCAAATGACTTAAAACTTCCTCAACCCATCCACTTAGAGTTCTGTAACGTTATTTCCTGTAACATAAAACCAGTACCTGGCCAATGTGATAATTAGTCTCGTTCCTTTCCTCTGGTACAAAAAACTGGTTCCACATCCAACCACGCTTCACTCGGAAGTGAGAACCCACGGGGTGCTCAACTTCCTCTGTTGTAGAGATTTCTGTTGCTGTAAAGCAAGGCCATATGAGAGGAATTCCCGAGATAAAAGGTAGCAAGAAGCAACAATTCATTCTGCTCTTTTGATTCTAACTGGTGTTCTTCAGAAGAAAAAGTAGTTGCAAACAAAAACCGTATGTTCCTTTATAATCTTTTTAAGTCTTAGGTTTCTTTCATATTCCTAAGGAACAAGAAACAAAATTTAAATTAAAAAATAACACTTTCTCACATAATTGCTACAGTAAGGGTACAACTTTTGCATTCATAAATCAAAACAACAATACACACTTTATCTTCTAAGCTGGTTATATTTTGTTATATATTTGTTATATATATTTGGTTATATCTCAGCAATAATTTGAAAGGTATAATCAAAAACTTCTGCTCAAGCATGGTCCATTTTAAGCTATGGCCATAAATCTGCCTGAAGGTTGAAAAGTTGGTCCGGCAATCTCATTGATTGATAGGTGACACTGAGATAGATTTTTCTGGTTTAATTTAACCTGCTTACATCTTCTATTCTATCTTGGTAAAATTCCACAGTCAAGCCAGGGGAAAAAATGTGATCTTTCTCCTTTTTCTAAATAGCAGTAAGTTTCCTAATCCAATTTCCCAAGTTACAGTATTTTATCTAGTATTAGATAAACAAAATGACAATTCAGTTTGAAATCTGGGGGATTTAAAAATCAGTTATATTGATGTTATAAAACACTCTGAATAGAAATATTGCATGAATAGAAAACCCATGCAAGATATTTGCCATTTTATATTATGAAAGATACAAAAAGAAACATTTTTCATTTAACAAAGAGATTATGTTATTTTTAGAAAATAAATACAAAATATAGTGCCGGGGTAAATACGGCTGTTTTTAATATATAAGACAGAGATAAAAGATAGCTTCTATTATCAAAATACTAAAAAAGAAACTTCAACTACTGAATTTTACATGTAAAACTTTCCATTTAACTGATACTTATTATACCAACTCCTTTGAAATGATTGGTAATTCTCACCCTTAAAGAAAATTGAATAGCTTTGCATTTACCACATTGACATAGCACCTCCATATAACCAAATTGGATTTGTTTGTTTGAGACTCACGAAGAAAAATAATTTTGTCAGGTATGTAGTTTAATACTACATGATCAACAGAAAAGCCAGAGTCCCTGTGTCTGTTAGGAGTTTTCTATATGATCTCACTTTGAATCTTCTCCACACATTTTTGAACAACCACTGAGAGATATTTTAGGTCTCTCACTCTTGTTAGAAAAAGTCATTAAAAAACACCTAATTAAGAAAGAACAGGTTGTCATAAATGGGGATATTGTGGTGCCTCTGAGTTCCTTCAAGCAGATGTTTTCTTTGTTATATATTTACTTAATGAAGGCCATGAAGAAATTCAACTGAGGTGAAAATTAAAGATGAATTTCATTCTTATGTTGAATATTTGAAACTTAAATAATGTTTGTTGTTTAGAAATTGCTAAAATATACCTTTTGATAGCCAGTAAATAATGAAAATATTCAGAATAAGTTCAGTTTCTTAATGAGGAAGTTATTTTGTATAAATATAAAAAACTATAACTAACAGTGGTGTGAAGTGTAATGATAATGTTGGGAAAATGCATTTGTGTCAATTTTACATTATGATATTTTCATTCATCTAGGAGAAAAGTGAGAGGTTTTAGGGAAGATACTGTTTTAGATTAAAAGTTATTTTAAAACACACAAGAACAAGTGTAAAATAAAGACATTGTTTAGAACTTAATTTGTACAAACGTATATATTTTTTTAAAGATTTTTATTTATTTATTGGACAGACAGAGATCACAATAGGCAGAGAGGCAGGCAGAGAGAGAGGAGGAAGCAGGCTCCCCGCCGAGCAGAGAGCCTGACGCGGGGCTCGATCCCAGGACCCTGGGATCATGATCCGAGCCGAAGGCAGAGGCTTTAACCCACTGAGCCACCCAGGCGCCCCTGTACAAACATATTTTTATGTTTACATTTTTTATGAATTTGTGGCAATCCAATATGATAATTCAGTACCATGAGATGACAGAAAACATTGTGGATTTTGTTAGGTATAGAAGTTTCTTTGTGGTTAAGAATAAAAAAAAATTAAAAATAAACCTACTTTTGATCATGTATACTGAAACATTTTGGTGTCTAGAATTTTTTTAAAAACATTTCAGAAATAGTAGGAGCTCAGGTAAAATCATGAGGCAAAGGCTTGATAATTCTTGAAATTGGGTCATGAACAATTGCATAGCTATTATTTTATTCTTCACTTGTGTTTAAAATTTATAAATTAAAACAACAACAAAAATAACAATTTATTCTGTATTTTTAAAATCAATATGGTGGACAAAAACCAATAAATAATTTAATTTAGTGATGCTACTAATGAGAACTCACACACACACACACAAACAAAACCCCTATACGATGCTGATGAAACTGAAAAACTGGACAGCCATTTTGAGGAATAATTTGGCCAAATCTACTGTATTTAAAAATTAGTTGAATATATAAACTAACAGCTATTTTTTATTGCTTTATATCTAGAGATATTCTCAAAATTTTCCACTGTGAAGCAAATGCAAATTGGGTTAATCAGAAATATATATATATAGAAAAATAAAGTTTAAATCACAGTACTATATGATACCAATTACAAAGTGTTTCAAAATTACAAGATGATGCCATATGAGACTGTTGTCATACATAAATTGTGTAAAGGACGTCTAGAAAAAGAAAAGTGATACACAATATTTATTATGGTAATTACCAAGCTAGTAGGAAGAGAAATTGGTTTAAAGATTGAAGTTTAGAAATATGTCTCATTTTTCTCCCTCTAAACAATCTCAAGTAAATATGTCAAATAATAACACTCATTAAATCTGGGTGATTTTTCTACCATATGCTAGATTTTTTTTCAGATAAAGTACATGATTAAAATATTTTGCAATTAAATTTAAAATTAAATGTTAAACTATCATTATTTTATAATCCTAGATGATAAAACAGATAGGAGACCCTTTTATTTGAACCTCCTAATATAAAGATACAAGAATGAAATGGTAGCAGTAGGTATTCCTGAATTATGAAATATTATGGCTTTGTTTATACTTTTCTAGATCCCAAATTGTCTATAATGGTCATACATTTCAGGGTAAGGGAAAATGTTTCAAATAATCGTCCACTTCTGATTGAAGAGTGTTGACAGCTGTCAGCAGTGCCAGACTGAGAAATATTCAGGGAGAGTCTGGGCTAATAAGGACAAATGCTATCAATTAGTATGTCTGAAATGCACCCTAGAGAAACAAGCAGTGGCATTTCCACCCTCCATCTCCAATCCTGTCAGATGATGTATGGATGAAAACTTGCATAATATTTCAATACGGAAAAAACACTAATACTGTGTCTCATGTTGATTTGTTTAAATTTAATCTCATTGCCCATAACTAGGCATATTTATAAATATTAAATAAAATGTAGTGTGAACTACATTTCCTTGCATATCTTGAAAATATATATTTCAAAATATACAATGTATAAAAATTAAGTGACATTGCTATTAACACAAAATTACAAAATAAAATAATATTAATATTTGAATAGCACTATTATAAAATATATCAACATATTATGTTCAAATAGGATGACATAATTTTAATATCAAAATCTGTACTTTCTCTAATGTATTACATTCACATATGAAGAAATTTATATCAAGACATTTTAAGTGACCTGTCCAGTAGCACATAGTTATTTACCAGTGGAAATAAGACTGGAAATCTAATCGTAAGGGCATGATGTGTTCACTGTGTCTTACTGAAGAAGGAAAACATGTAGATGTCTAATGCAGTGCATGACACTTGTCATTGATAGTTCGCCTTATTTAAATTGACTAAATATATAGAAATTGCTTTTGAAAGTCCGGACCAGTCTTGAAATTAGACATAATAAAATGTTTTCTATTATCTCTGTTTAGAACACCTTTCTCCCCCTTGTTTTAAAGATTCTTGAGGTAAAAAAAAAAAAGCAAGAATGAGTCAGAACGATGGATTTGGTGTCTGTACGGAAAAAGATAAAAGTAGCTCAGAAAATGTGGATGGGTTAAATAGAAACACTTAATCCTATTTGCGATCTTTTTAAAAATCAAGTGAAACTTGGCAGCCTCATAGAATGACACCATACATAAAGGCTATTAAATGGCTTTCTCAGAACACTAATAGGAAATACAGAAAGAAATGCTTGTGGCTATAGCAACTCTTTCTCCGTAGATGTGGAATGTAAAACATCTTTCTCTCCCATTTATATGCATTTGTTAAACGTATTTTACATATTTACTGGCACAAATAAAAGCACTGTGCTACAGCTAAAGCAATGTAAGGTCAGAGTGTCTGTGTAGGAGCTTCTCGAGCCCACATTGGCTTTACAGCCTTCCCTATTCACTATCTGCATGATGTCCTAGGATGGGGAACAAGGGCCATTTCATCCCTGGGCTGGCTACTGTGAACTTTGTTTTCGGCGGTGCAGAGGACTGTGGATTAATGAGCACTGTGCTCAGTGCTAAGCACTGACAAAATTGAGCCTGAATGTGAAAACATTCCCCAACATCAAGAGGCATATTCCAATTGATGAAATACCCATTGGCAAAATATCACTTTAAAAAATCTGATATCCCACCTTTTTCCACCTTCTACAAGTTACCAAAACGTGATTTCTCATTATTTCTAAGCTAAATCACTACATACCGCTCGCTGTATTGAAGATTTGCGTCAAACGCATATCCTTCATTGTATGATGCCACGCAATTAATCAGTATGGGACTTCATTATATCTTGCCATATTAGTAATGATTTTAATTTGGCCACTGCATGTCCACACTCTTTCTTACACTTAGTTTTCTTGTGTGATTGCAGTCAAACCTGTAAAATATTTTCTTTAGCGAAATCTCCTTTTCTCTTAATGTTCTTGTGAAAATATATAACATAGAAAAATAAAAGGAAAAAAAAAAAAAAAAAAAAGAAAAATAAAGCAATACTTTGTTTCTAAATACTTTCTAAAGAAGTATTCTAATATCACTTCATTATTCCAGGAGGTAAACCCACATATATTTATCCATGCTTCTGGTTTCACTCCATAATTTAAAAACACCAGGAATTCCCTGAGT